TAATAATAATAATAATAATAATGATGATGATGATAGTGATCATGATGATGATGATAACAAAAGTAATAAAGGTGATAATAATAACCGCAATAATAGCAATAACAATAACATTATTAATGGTATAATAATGCTAATAATAACAATAACTATGATTACTTAAGTGTGTGAAAAGTGCACTAAAACTAATTATAATGATTATGATAATAATGATACTACTACTATTACCACTACTACTACTACTACTACTTCTACTACTACTACTACTACTACTACTACTACTGCTGCTGCTGCTGCTGCTGCTACTACAACTACTACTACTACTACTACTACTATTACTACTACTACTACTACTACTAATGATAACAATAATAACAGCAAATTTAAGTTATATAGCACCCTATGCAACACAATAATAATACGCTGCATTTATATAGCACGTGTACTGTTCCCCATGTAAAAATAATTTGTAAATTGCGTCTATATAGCAATTCAGTAATAACAGATTACATTTGTTATACAGTGCTCATTCCAATACAATAATGATATATTTCATTTATGTATCGCTCTATCCAGTACGATGATAATCTGTATAATATACATCGTTTTATCCAATACAATGATAGATCTCATTTATTATACATCCTTTTTCCAATACAATGATAGATATCATTAAATTTTATTAAACAACGCTCTGCCCAATTCAAAAAATATGAAATAGACTGCATTTATTATACAGTACTCTATCCACAATACAATGAAAGTGAATTGCATTTATACATCGCTCTATCCAATACAATGATATTTGATAGAATGCATTTCTCATACAGCGCTCTATCCCACGTACGTTGTAAACCAAATTTCCCTCAGCAAGTGCAACGGTGGAGCAGATAACAGCTAATAGAAAGAGGACTAAAGCTGACGTGACGAAGGGCGATCCTCTCAATCTGCGATGCACATACGGTGGAGTAGCTCTCTCTCCCGTGCGCATAATCCGAGAGGATTTGAACCTGACACTAGCCAGTTCATCTAGCAACAGCTCTAACTCGTTCACCTTTAGTAAGGCCAGAGCGGAGTGTGAGGATCAGGGTTTGTACCGGTGCCAGGCTGGCTCAGCAGCTCAGGGAAAACGTCTGGAGCTGGGAGTTAGAGGATGTGAGTACATCTCGTTGTTACCTCTTCCTTTGTTTTTTGTGAGGCTCTGTCTTTATTTTTATTTTTTTATTATTTTTATTTTTTTTGGGGGGGGGGGCTTCTTAGTTTTGGATTGTTTGTGTTTTTATTCCGCTTTGTTCTGCTTTATATTAAACGTTTTTGTTTTCCTTTGTTCTCTTTTGTTCTCCATTGTTCTCCTTTATTCTCTTTTGTTCTCATATGTGTTCTCCTTTGTTTACTTTTTTTCTGCTTCGTTCTCATTTGTTCTCCTGTACTCTGCTTTCTGTTCTTTCTTTTTGCTTTCTTCTTCATTGCTCAGCTGTGGTGTAGTGTGTTTTGCTTTGTTTAAATGTTTGGCTGTGGTTTCTTTGTTCCACTGTGTTCTGTTTCGTTCTGCTTTATGTTGTTCTACACGTTCTGCTTTCTTTTGCTTTGTTTTATTTTGCTCTGTTCAACTTTACTCTAATTTTCTATTTTTATGTTTTTTTGTTTTTCTTTACTCCTTTCATTTTTAATCTGCTTCTTTTTCGCGTTGATCTATTTTCTTTACTTTGTCCTGCTTTCTTGGCTTTTGGCCTGTTCTCTTTTTTGTAAAAAAAAAAAAAAAACAACTTTGTTCCGCTTTTGTTTGTCTTTTGTGTGTGTGTGTGGGGGGGGGGGCTTTCTGTGCCTTTTTCTTGTTTGTTTGTGGTTGTTGTTTTTTAATGTTCATTTCATTTCTCTCACTTGTTTTGCCCTGTTGTGTATTCTCCCTCTATTTAATTCTGTTGTGATTTATTTATTTGTTCACCTATCTTTTCTCTTACTTTGCTCTGCTCTTTTGGTTTCTGTGTTCTATAGTTTTACTTTTGAGAATAAGAAAATGAATTTTGGGGGTTGGAGTGTGTGTGTGTGTGTGTTTGTGTGTGTGTGCTTGTGTGTGCGTGTGTGTGTGTCTGTCTGTGTGTGTGTGTGTGTGTGTGTGTGTGTG